TGCTCGAATGTCGACAAGCCAGCTGGCTGCTTATGTTTACGATCATTCGATTAAGCAGTTAATAGATATATGACTTGTTTGGTTGTAAAAAAAACGATTTAAACTATTTAAACTAGACTTGCTTGCAAGGCGAAGTTAGCGCAGAATAAAGAATGAATATTTTGGTAGAAAGTTGCCTAGGATAACGGTAGAACGTTGCATAGTGCCTAGGACAACGGTAGAACATTGAATAGTGCCTAGGATAACGGTAGAACATTGAATAGTGCCTAGGATAACGGTAGAACATTGAATAGTGCCTAGGATAATGGTAGAACATTGCATAGTGCCTAGGATAACGGTAGAACGTTGCATAGTGCCTAGGACAACGATAGAACATTGAATAGTGCCTAGGATAACGATATAACATTGAATAGTGCCTAGGATAACGATAGAACATTGAATCGTGCCTAGGATAACGGTAGAACATTGAATAGTGCCTAGGATAACGGTAGAACGGTAGAACATTGCATAATATCATACTATGAACATTTTGTACCAATTGCCTCGTTGCCTTAGCAGCTAGAATTGAAAAATAGACGTTCAACTTTCAATGTTGAACGTTCAACGACAACGTTCAAACTCTGTCTTCTCATTGTCATGACCCAAAATCGCTTCTTTCCTTCACACAAAGCATGTTATTCAGGAATTGAATGTGCCATTTCATTGAATCCCCATTTCATTTCATTTCCCTTAACCTTTTTGTCTTTTCTCTTCCATTTGTGGAAAAGAAAAGAGACACTTATTCAAATCACACCCACGTGCGATTTGAATAAATGTCTCTTTTCTTTTCTTCAACGTTTTACATTCACTTCTACCTTTAAGTTTTTGCAATTCTAAATTTCAATAGACTACACATTGTACTACACACAAGAACGCTTTGTTTTTACTTTAAAAAAACCATTATATCACTCAGTAGATAGTCGATTTTACAATAGTCCTACAATAGTTCTACAATAGTCCTACAATAGTCCTACAATAGCCCTACAATAGTCCAAATCTCGATTCCCATCCCTTTCCTTGGCCCTCTGCCAGGCCAAGGCTATGAAAATCGGCGCTCTGATCGTTCATTTTCTCATTCTTTCAAAAGAAAGACCGTCTCATGAGGTATCCACAAAAGAGGACAAAGCACCGAGAAGGGAAATTGGGGAAAAGGGAAAAGATGTTGAGGGTGATGAGCAAGGGGAAACCTTTTGAAATGGCCTTGAAAAAAAACGTCGTCCCCACACAACCCCCGACCGTCCCATCCCCCATTTTTTTGCCGCCTTTTTCTTACTAGCCAAAGAAAAAAACAGCAATGCACAGAGAAACGGCCACGGAAGACATTGAAGGGGGAAAAAGGGCTCGATTCGAAATCTTTTTCCGGATCTATCGATTGAGAAAGATTTTGAAATGATGAAAAGTAGAGTTGTAACAAAAATAGTTCAAAAAATGCAAGGCAAGGCAAGGCAAGACTGGCTTTACTGTCAGCTTGGTTCGTCTCTGGATTCACGAGGATTTTAGTTGCTTTTGACCAGTTTCTGCCTGACCTGGCTTGGCTTGGCTTGGCCTTTGTTTACAAGCCCTAAAGCCGGCTAAGATTCCTGGATGTAAAAGCTTGCCTTCTTTTCAACTATTGAATAACTTTATTTCAAAAAATCTCTCTTTAAGCCACAGCCGATTGGCGAATGAGAATTCGATTCGCTGGGATATTTCGGATAAAGAAGGCGATGATTTTCTGCCGAAACGCCACAATGCTAAACAACATGATGATTGAAGAGAAAGAGGAGTGTTGGTTGAAAATGGCAATGGCAAAGTGCAACATATCTAAACACTATTTGCATGATTACAATGTAAAAGAATAAACAAATTGTCGGTAGACGAAAAGACTCAAGCTTTATTGTTGGCATTTCTCAGTCAAAAATCCCACTTTGAACATTGGGAATCCTCATTTGTACAGCCACCGAAGCGGTAATCATTGGTCCACAATAGCAAATTCCAGGGAAAGCCGTCTGAAACGAGTTTTGGAGTTTTGCAGAGTTTCAACCAGATCAAGATCTGACATGGCGTCTCTTAAAGAAGCAAGCTTAGCGGCTGATGGGAATTTTAAAGGTTAGTTTAGCGTCATCAGCATAAAGCCAGATAGATGAGTCCCTAGATGAAAAGTTTAATTCAGCTAAATCATTAATGTAAATTGTAAAAAGTATAGGACCCAGAATACTTCCTTGGGGTACACCGCTAGAGCAATTAAAGGAAGGGGAGAGAGAATCGTTTAGAAGAACTTTGAAAGTTCGCTGAGTAAGGAAACTTTCGATAACTGAAATCATGGAGGGGCAGATTTTATATGCGTGTAGTTTGTGAATTAAGAATTTAATAGGGACAGAGTCGAAAGCTTCAGCAAAATCTAAAAACACAGCTGCAAGCTGATAGTGCTTGCGTTGTTTTTGATCCACGGCCTTAAAGAACTCTTGGTAAGCTAAAATAAGCTGGTAAGTGGTGGACTTATTTTTAAGGAAACCAAATTGATAGTCGGAGATAAGTTCATACTTATCAAGATGAGCTGTAATTTTATCTTTGATAATAATTTCAAAAAGTTTGGATACAGGGGAGGTTAAAGAGATGGGACGATAGTTACTGAAAAGGTTTTTAGGAGACTTTTTGAGAAGGGGAATAACTAAAGATTGTTTCCAAAAAGAGGGGACATCTGAAATGAGAAGAATTTTGTTGAAAAGTTTTAAAAGAGGGTAGGTAAGCACTCTAGAAAGTCTCTTAATAGCAAAAGCTGAGAGGTTATCTGGACTAGACGACTTTTTAGGCCGTAATTTAGAAAAAGCTTTCTCAATGTCCGCTACACATATTAAGAAATCTGGCTCCACGTCAATTTGTTTTACCGGAAAGCCCGGACACTATTCGTTTTTATCTGTAACCGTATATACACTATGAAAGAATTTGGCAAACTCAGTGACGATTGTACTGGGATTGGAAATAAGTTTACTACTGTCTAAGGGATCAACGAAAGAATTGGAGACTATCTTTCGATCTTTTGTTTTAGAGCTTAAATAGGAGAAGAAAGACTTGCTGTTTTTCGAATAAACAGCTTTCCTTTCAATGTTTGCCTCAAACTTTTGACAAAATTTCGAGAGCTTGCGCTGTTCTTTGATTACTAGTGGGTCAACCAGAGGATTTGCGTAATTTGATCTTTCAAAAAAATGCAGAAGTCTTGCTTTAGCTCTCGTAATATGATTTGGGGCTAATTTTACAGGGTGAGTGCAGGAGTTTTCTATGGCAAGGAGGATTTTAGAACAGAGAAAATTATAGTCATCATCTATAGAATTTGTCCTAGAGCAGAAAGAGTTCCCTCTAAGGGAGTTTAAGAGGGAAAGAGCCGCTTGGTCGGGATTAAAATCAAAATGCACGCAACCTTTCCGCGGAGGAGTCGAAAATTGCCGTCCTCCAATTTTGAACGTGATCCCATAATGGTCAGATCCAGGAAGAGGCTCCAATCGCTTCAACTCCATGATGATATCAGGGGAATCAGACAGGACCAGATCTAAAATAGAAAATGAACGGCAGAAGGTAGCAAATGTGTTTAAAATAAATAGGGAGCATGTAATAAGGAAATCTTGTAGCAAAATGGTGGGATGGTGGTACTTATCAAACACAAATTTGTCATTAGAATAGGTCACATGAAAATTTAAATCGCCTAGTAAAATGTTGACTTCCGAATCATGCAAGAAAAGTGATAAATGATCAAAAAGACGAGAAGTATCAGCATAATTCACGCTAGGGGGCCGATAAACGACAAGAAAACGAACCTTTCTGCCAAGATAAACATCTACAATTATAATTTCACAGTTAAAGATGGAACTGCAGTAAATTACATGGTGGGTAAAAGACTTAAGTAGCAAAAACACAACACCGCCACCATGCGATTTAGTGGAAGAAGCTCTATCACATCTAATAATATGGTAAAAGTCACTAGGGTCAAGAATAGAGGAAACTAGAGAGTCGTCTAGCCATGTCTCGGTAATAGCAAGAAATGAATAAGATTTTGTACGAGTCATGGTCTGAAAAGTAGCTAAGCGATTCTTGCTATTAGAAACTATACTATGGGCATTGGCAAGAAAAACGCTAGAGGAAAAGAGAGCATCAAACTTGGGAAAGCGAGCCGGGAAATTTCTCCTGCGTAGAATGCGAGCCTGATTGACTTTGTTGCTTGTGGAGTTTCTTTCCAATCCTCCGTTCCGATGGGTGAGTGAGAAAAGCACCCTCATCGTTTTCCCTTTCATCTCGAAAATTCTTTGCCAATGGTTCGTTCACATCCGACAAGGAGTGTGCTTTGCGAAGGCGCAACCCAGGCGGGTCAATCTTCGTAGAGTTAATCCTCTTTGGGGGTCGGCCCTTCTTGACTGGAGGCTTTTTTGTGGAGGCTGTCTGCATGCTTTCCCTTGTCGTATCCTTTTGCGCAGCCAAACTCGTTTCGGAAGCAGTCACATGCAAAGCTCCAACCTGTTCCCGAGGTACACTCCTTGTCGTATTCACGTCGAGGTGTGGAAGGGGGTCATTTTGGGTTGAAGGAAGTGTCTCCTGCCTCTTGCTGTAGCGACTTGGGTCCGAGCGTCGAATCACAATGAGCCGAGCGTACCAGGGCATAGAATCCTTCTTACCAGGGCAGAGAATGCTAAAGAGAGTGAGAATTAGTAACTAGAAAACTAGAGAGAGAGGACTAGTAACTAGAGAACTAGAGTGAGAGAATTAGTAACTAGAGGACTAGAGGGAGAGAACTAGTAACTAGAGAACTAGAGAGAGAGAGGACTAGTAGCTAGAGAACTAGATCTACTAGACATCTACAAAGTTTACAAGAAACAAGTAAAAAAAAAAGAATCGAATTTCTACTTAAACTCACAAGCTCACATAGCTTCTCGATCTCCAAAAGACAATAGAATAAATGATTAGACTAAGCAAATCAATGAAAATTAGAATTAAATTGACAATATTCGCGGCAGAAGCAGCGGCACGAGTGACTGGACCACAATTGAATTGTAGTTCGGTGGGATCCTCATGAAAGTGTACATAGAGAACATGAACACAATCTAAAGTTAAGTTCTTTGGAATAAGATCTTTAGATCGATCTAATAGATCTAAAGATCTAATAGTTCTAAAGATCTAATAGATCTAATAGATCTAATAGATCTAATAGATCTAATAGATCTAAAGATCTAATTGAATTGAATAACTTTATTCCAAAAAATCTCTCTTCAACGAGTCGCCACAGCCGATTGGCTGATGAGAATTCGATTCGCTGGGATATTTGGGATAAAGAGGGCGATGATTTTCTTCCGAAACGCCGCAATGCTGAACAACATGATGATTGAAGAGAAAGAGGAGTGTTGGTTGAAAATGGCAATGGCAAAGTGCAACATATCTAAACACTATTTGCATGATTACAATGTAAAAGAATAAACAAATTGTCGGTAGACGAAAAGACTCAAGCTTTATTGTTGGCATTTCTCAGTCAAAAATCCCACTTTGAACATTGGGAATCCTCATTTGTACAGCCACCAAAGCGGTAATTATTGGTCCACAATAGCAAATTCCAGGGAAAGCCGTCTGAAACGAGTTTTGGAGTTTTGGAGTTTTACAGTTTTGCAGTTTTGCAGCTTTGCAGCTTTGCAGCTTTGCAAGAACTTTAATAGAGATTATTACGATAAAGATCATTAAGTTTGAGTACTTTAAAGGCAGGTGCTTTATAAGTACACCTACAATTTGTCATCAATAACTAGAAAAATGTTATCGTTCTTGATTTCTTGAGCTCAAGATACAATTAAGCTAAACATTAGTTTTACCTGAAAAATTAAACTTTTCGTGAGTTGCTTGTTGAGCTTTCGCGTTTTTTCACTCATCCTTGCTCGAAGCTCGCTAAAGATTCACAAAATGTTGTTAGCTTTTTTTAGAACTCACTTTGAATTGATAGATCTAAATACACCAGTCACAGAATACGCGGTAATCAGTATATTTAGAGCCATTTCACAATTGAAAGTAAGCATAAGTCGTTGGAAATTTGGATTCTCTGAGTCGACCAAGAGAATCACATTGTATTTGAAAACGGATGAGGTCGAGGGGCAAGTCTGGACAAAAGAATTTTGTAGTAGAACTTAAATAGGTATGCGTTGAGCACATCTATTTAGTTGCCCTATTACTGTAGACCGGCCAGGAATCGGCGAAACTAACCGAATTTATATAAACCTCCATTTCCGTACGACTAGGCCACATTAGCGTGAAAGACACAGTATTGATCGGCATCGCCAGCAGAAATTGCGCCGCAGCGATCATCGGCACGTAGTATGGATGTTTGAAAATCCAATGGCTAAAATAACTTGATTAGGATTGAACTTTTAAACGACTTACTTCAATGTAATTGCACACAATCTATAGTAGAAGCCAAAAATGGTGAAATTCGCGGTGCCGGTCGTCGCCAGAATCATACTCCACTAAAGTTGAGCTACATAAATGATCGATGGCCATGACCGACTGACCGATGACCATGACTGACTGGCTAAGAGCCCCATAGCCTAGTCGAAAGCTCAAGAGTTCAATCCCAACGGCTAGATTATTGGTTCTTTTTTTTTCGATATATTAGGGTGATAGGAATGAAACCAGTGCTCAAATATCTTTCCAAAAAAAAGATTGCAAGCCAATTGTTGCAAGCCAAGTGCAAAAAGATTGCAAGCCAAGTGTTTTATAATGTTCGAAAGCCCTGAATCTTCTCTACAAAATAGTGCAAAAAAAAAGATTTTAAATTCGATTGATTATTGAAGACTTGAGTGACTTTTAAGTTGAAAGGTTAAAAAATGACCATTTTCTGGTAGTTGGCCATGCCCGGGTTTTCCGTTAGAAAATACCGCCAAATAAAGTTATTTCAAAATAACATAAAAGAAAAGAAATCCTCTTCGACAACACCGTCCTCCCGGCACTCTGCTACGGGACAGAGACCTGGGCCACGACACAGACCACCGAACGAGCCCCGGGAACGACGCATCGAGCCCTTGAAAGGAACCTATGCAATAAGGCACAATAGGAAGACGCAGCTCGACCAAGACCTAAGAAGTACGGATATGCGCCAGCTCTCGGGACTCAGAGATCCAGTGGAAGTGATCGAAAGAAAAAGACTCAGATGAGCCGGCCACGTAGCCAGAAGAACAGACGACAGATGGACGATACGGATCACAGAGTGGCTACCACGAGACCAGAAGAGGCCCATCGGAAGACCAGCAACGAGGTGGCGCACAAGAGTGGCAGAGACGGTCAGAGAAAGGATGGCTAGAGTGCAACCACCACCAGCACAAGCCAGTCGAAGACTTCGAACCAGGAACAACCAAGATCGGAAACACTGGATGACAATAGCAAAAGATAGAGAAATATGGAAGCATTTTTCCATTTGTACCACATTATTCGTTTGAATAAAAGTATTTTTTTTACATTTTCATTAGTTATGAACAACTTTCGTTATAGGATCACTTACAACGATCCAAAAGCCAGTGCCAGTCGGGAAGTAATCCTCAAAAATCGAAGACCCAAAGCCACCAATCAATGGGAACATGTTCACTGGACGGATGAAAATGCATAAAAGGAAATCGACAAGGAAACTCCAGAACTGAAAGTGAAAACAGAAAATTATAGAAAATTAAAGTTAGATAGACTTCGATAGTCGACTTCCTGCATTAGCCTAGTGTTGAGCCTAGCCTAGCCTGTTGAGCTCTAGTGTTGAGCCTAGCCTAGCCTGTTGAGCTCTAGTGTTGAGCCTAGCCTAGCCTGTTGAGCTCTAGTGTTGAGCCTAGCCTAGCCTGTTGAGCTCTAGTGTTGAGCCTAGCCTAGCCTGTTGAGCTCTAGTGTTGAGCCTAGCCTAGCCTGTTGAGCTCTAGTGTTGAGCCTTAGCCCCTGTTGGCCCTAGTGTTGAGCCTAGCCTAGCCTGTTGAGCTCTAGTGTTGAGCCTAGCCTAGCCTGTTGAGCTCTAGTGTTGAGCTTTAGACTGTGTTCCTCTCAAGCAAGTAATTACTTTGAATAAATTCGCGTAAGTAATTTGTCTACTTGAGTAATGAGTCAAGTAAATCTCAAGTAATGGTATTTTCAATTGTTCAACTAAGCACTTTTATTACTTTTCTATGCTTTTGAAAGCTAATAATTTGAATAAACTTTAATTAAAAACCCTCTGTATCTAGCAAAGATCGAGCAAAGAATCAAAAAAGGGTAAAAACAAGTTTAACTCGAACGAGGGGTAAACTTGCGGTCTAGCGGCTGTTTGCTTTCGAGACAAGCACGCAAACCATCCGACCAGCATTAGTTAACATTAGTTTTCCCCTTTCATGCGCGTTTCAGAAAGCGATTACTCGCAAGGAAACACACTCTATTCAAGAGTAATCATACAGTAATCCATCGGCACTTATTATCTTATTATTAGTCTCTTCAAAAACGTCTTTATCCTTAAATAGGACTGAATTCTCGGATCCTCACCGTCAAATTCATCAATATCAATTTGTATTGTTTCATTTCTTTTGGTGAATGCCATTTCAACATATAAAAAGCAATGAAATTTGAAACGATTACAAAAATCGAATTTCCATTAAAATACAAGTACAATAATTTGGGGATATCAGTGGAGATGGTAGAGCAATTCATGAACAAAACAAACTGATGATGGCCTAATGAAAATGTTCTCAAATTTTTGAGAACACCTTTCTAACGAAACGATTCGCAGGAAAAGTGTACCGGTTACCCAGAAAGTGGCAGGTGAAATGGGCATGAAAGTTTCTCAGAAGCTTTTTCGCTTTCCATTTTAGTCAGTCGTTTTAGTTCATGATAAAATATGGTACAATGAAAGAAAATAGAATAAAACAATGATCAGCTTTCCTAGAAAGGTAGAGTTGTTGTTTGGTGCTTGTAACACCGTATTTTCTCTAATAGTAGTGCACCCCGGCGAGCCGAGTTGATCACTATTTACGGTTTCCAAGCTTTTGCAGAAGCTCAACACTCAAATCTCCCACAAGATCTGATCGTCAGCTACATTTTCCGACCCCACATCGATAGGTTCTGATAAGTGGTTCTCGAGATTTCGAGGAATTTAGGCGACGTTTTGGGTGCACTACTATTAGAGAGAAGACGGTATCACAAAATCCTACAGAGACATCGTTTTCTTCTGATTTAATTACCCAAGTTGCAAGTGCTTTTGTGCTTACAATACTTTTGTGCTTTCTGTGAGTGAGTTCTAGACTAAAATTCATGCAACACTTTTTCTAGAAGCTAGATATTTGTGCAATAATTCTTTTGTAATTCTTTTGCGTTAAGAATGTTTTATATTTCATTGTTAAATAGAATATTTCCTATGCTTGAAATGGTGTGACACGATTGTGATGATCGTTTGGACTTGTTGATTTGAGTTTTTCTTGAATAACCGATGGTGGATTTTTCTCAACTTGCCACGAGGAAGTAATTGCCTCAATTGACATCTGAAACTATTTAAATGATTTGTTCAAAGATATTCAAGTCTCGCCTCTGAATAAAGTCCTTGATTTCTTAGCATTCGTTGAGTTGTCACTTTTCTTTGGAGCTCGATTCGCCGAAGCATGAACACAATGAATGGCGGTAGAACGAGGGCATAATAGGGTGGAAGCTAAAGAGATAAGATTTCGATAGTTCTTGAATTCTTGTCCAGTAGATAGATAGCTCAAAAAAAACTTGCTTTTAATTGAAATAGTTTCGGAAGCTAGTTAGTTATTTGTTCTCAAAAAAAACTCGATCACTTACATAAAACTCTACAACGAACAGGAACAAAGTGATGCCAGTTTTCTGCTGATAATAATCAATAATTCGTAGTATGATCATCTCTGATACAAAAATAAAAACATTTGCAAGAACTAATGGGAAAAGTAAAGTGATCACGGAATTCGTTTCCGAGTATTGATATCGCTCCTCGATTGGCATATCTCGATAAGCTTGAGTCGATTTGCTAAAGAGAGAGAGAATTAGTAACTAGAGAAGTAGAGAGAGGACTAGTAACTAGAGAACTAGATCTACTAGACATCTACAAAGTTTACAAGAAACAAGTAAAAAAAAAAGAATCGAATCTCTACTTGAACTCACAAGCTCACATAGCTTCTCGATCTCCAAAAGGCAATAAAATAAATGATTAGACTAAGTAAATCAATGAAAATTAGAATTAAATTGACAATATTCGCGGCAGAAGCAGCGGTACGAGTGACTGGACCACAATTGAATTGTAATTCGGTGGGATCCTCATGAAAGTGTACATAGAGAACAAGGGCCATTGTGAACACAATCTAAAGTTAAGTTCTTTGGATTAAGATCTTTAGATCGATCTAATAGATCTAATAGATCTACTAGGTTGGTGCAAATGAAATTTCGTTTTTTTACAAACATTAAAGTCATCCAAAATTTTTTTAGATAACAATTTATTTAAAACAATAAGCACCATTATTATCTATGACATCCCTCCAACGTTGCTACAGATTGCGGATCCCCTTCTCAAAGAACGCTTGATTCTGTGATGCAAAGTAGTTGGTCACCCAATTTTCGACTTCTTTTGCATTCTTAAACTGGCAATTCTCAAGGGAATGTTGCATCGATCTGAAAAGGTGAAAATCGGAGGGTGCTAAGTCTGGACTATACGGCGCATGTGGTAAGACCTTCCATCCTAGCTTCTCTAGTTCCTTACAAGAGGTTTTTGCCGTGTGAGCTGGAGCATTATCACGGAGAAAGTTGATAGTTGAGGGATTTAGGCCTTTTTCACGCAAAATTTCGTCAACCTTCTTGAGTTGTTGAATAAAATAAGATGAATCGACTGTTTTTCCGGGCTCTAATAATTCAAAATGAACAAGTCCATTGATATTCCGCCAGCAAGACAACATCACTTTGCGCCCATGATAATCCGGCTTTGGAGTTGGAATTGGCGCTTGACCTTTGCTCAGCCATTGTCTTTTTCGAGAAGTATTATCAAAGTGAATCCACTTCTCATCCATCGTCAAGATATTCTCAAAAAAATGGCTTCTTTTCGACTTATGGAGCAAGATATGGCTGATCGAAACGCGTGCTCCCAGATTCTCAACACTCAATTGATGTGGAACCCATTGTCCATTACGATTTATCTTTCCAATTATTTCCAAATGGCGTACAATTGTTAAATGATCACATTGGAGATGTTTGGCAAGTTCTCGTGTTGCTTGCATTGGATCAGCTTCAATTAATTGTTCCAATTCATTGTTGTCGATGGCTGTGGCACGATGTCCATGCGTTTCGTCTTCAAGGGATTCATTACCATCTCGGAATTGGGCAAACCAGAGCTGGCATGATCTTTCGGTGATAACCTGTTCTCCAAAGGCGGAACAGAGATCACGATGTGAATCAGCAGCGTTTTTGCCCATTTTGAAGTCATAGAGAAGACACGTGCGCAGAACATACTTTTGATCCACCTTGATCTAAAGCAAAAATCAATTAAAAAGTGAAAGCTCTGACTTTGAAAAAATGCGAAAATAAAGTAAATATCCAAGAGTACAAATGCACAAAAGAACATCAAATAAGCTCTTCAGATTAAAAAAATAAGAACATTTTATATCGACCGAAATTTCTTTTGCACCAACCTAATAATAGATCTAATAGATCTAATAGATCTAAAGATCTAAAGGTCTAAAGATCTTTAGAATCTAAAGTTCGAAAGTTAATAATCTAGGATCTAAGTGAAGAACTGTAGCATCAAATTTTCTAAAATTACCACAAAAGTCGTTAACACGAGACCCAGCGTTGAAGAAACGAATTTGTAGCGATTCGTCATTGAAATCGCACAGTAACGCTCAATGGCAATGCCGAGAAGGGAAATCGTTTGACCTGAATAGTTCTTTAATTCTTCAATTCTTCAATTCTTCAATTCTTCAATTCTTAAATTCTTCAATTCTTCAATTCTTTAATTCTTTAATTCTTTAATTCTTCAATTCTTAAATTCTTCAATTCTTCAATTCTTCAATTCTTAAAGACACAATAAAACTCGATAAGTTGATTTTAATGAGAATCGATCGAAATAAAAAAGTGATTTTTGCAACTCACCGTAAATCCCAAAGTCGAAAACGATCCTTAAAGGAAAGCAAGCGCCTGGCTCAAACAATAAGCCGTCACAATCTCTTCCATTTAACAAAAACATTTCAAAGTTTAGACCCTAAAATAGAAATTGAAAAATTGCTTTTAAGTTGTAAAAAATTACCGCAATAATAGCTAGACAAATATCGTGAATTGCTGTGAAACTGCACATTACACAAAAGAGAATCTGAAAGTTTTCTTTAGCTACTTTAGCTTTCTTTAGTTACTTTAGCTTTCTTTAGCTACTTTAGCTTTCTTTAGCCTTTAGCTTTCTTTAGCTTCTTTAGCTTTCTTTAGTTACTTTAGCTTTCTTTAGCTTTTTTTAGTTACTTTGGCTTTCTTTAGTTACTCTAGCATTCTTTAGCTATTTTAGCTTTCTTTAATTACTTTAGCTTTCTTTAGCCTTTAGCGTGCTTTAGCCTTTAGCTTTCTTTTGAAAGTCTTACTGAAGCATTTATATGAAAGAGTAGAAGCTTTTGTCGATATTTTCCATAAACGTAGATGAGTGAGAAGAAGGAGATTAGTGAGATCGAGAAATGCCAAATCTAAACTTTAATGCCAAGTATTTCCTTCTCTTTCTTTTCTCTCTACTTGGAATCCCTTTTTCTTCTATCCAATAAGATATTAGATAGCTCATTGGTTAGAGCATCTACCCGGAAAAGTAAAAAAGCGAAAAGTTCGAGGAAAAGCTTGACATTTCAATCGACTCCTCGGAAATCTTTCTTTTCCATTCCTTACCCAATAGCGGAAACTTTATTCGATCCCCTCTCCGGTTCAATCCTGGTTCAATCCTCACCGGTTCAAGGGTTCAATCCCCTCTCCAGCTCTTCTTTGCCATTCCTTATTTTACTTTTAGCTGATATTACGGGTTTGCTATTGTAGTTAGTTTCTAGCGATGAAATTCACCTGAAAAAACTCCATAGCCCAGTTGTTCATGATGTCAACGGTGAAGAGACAGATTGGACTGTTCGGGTCGAGTTTTGTTGACATTTTCACAGAAAAAAAGGCTAATATTGTATAGATAGAGGCATTTAAAGTTTAAAGTCGAAAGTGAGTTAATGCGATGAAAAAGTTCAAGTACTTTTTGCGGAATTGAAAAGTTCAATGCTGAAAATGGGGTTGTCCAGAATAAATTGGAGAAAGAGAAGGGAAAATTGTTGATTTTTGAGGTTCATTCGGTATTTTCTCAGCACTGGAGTTAAAAATACGAAAAGCAATCATGAATTTATGATTGTTGACGAGATGGAAAGTGGTTTAAACAAGGAAAAATTCGTAGATTTATTGGTTTGACGAAAAATATTTAAAGAAATCGGGAAATTCGAGAATTTGGTTGAATGAAAAAGAAAAATACATTAAATGGAAGAATTTATTGTCTTTCTGTTATAATTCTCAAATTCGAGGTGTACTTTGTGCTCCAGAAACTAGAAACACAGGCTTTCTGGTGGGGTTGATCAATTTTTAACGAGACAAAATCGATGACTTTTTTTTTTTTGGTGTCAACTCGTTTTTAAGGACTTTTGTTATTCATTTCGAAAAAAGTTTTTGATCAATTTATACTAGTTTTCAAGAGGAGATTCAGCGCTATCGAATGACTATAATCATTTTGTTTTTTCTTCAAATTTGTCACCAAATTATCAGTGAAACAGTAAACGACTAGGTCCAAAAAATGCTGTCGCGAGCACAGAGTAGAATCGATCTTTTAACGACGTACTTTGTGCCATAGAAACGCATCGTTTCTAGCGCATTAAATGCCTCTTCTCGCAATAATATCTTCACTAAAAATACGAGTTACCGTAAACACTGTAATAGTACGGCACCCTCATAATGACGGTGCAGAGTGTTGCGTAGTCTAGCTTTGAACGAGTTTTTCTCGACACTGGTTTATGCTACAATGCGCGTTTAGGTATCAAAAAATAGCCCTGAATTTCAGCTATTTTTTGATACCAAAGACGCATTTTTTGAAAGTACGGGCGCTTTGAAAAAAATGAAATACTCAAAAAACTTTTGCGACTACGTGACTGTACCAGAGGGGTGGGGTACTATTACAGTATTTACGGTAGGTCCTCTAGAGGCTTAACTTTGAACGCTGGCCTACCTGGTTGTTGATGTTGCAGTTGTCTCCCAGTTGCAGTTGTTGTTGCAGTTGTTGCAGTTGTTTCGCTTTGAAAAAAATGAAATACTCAAAAAACTTTTGCGACTACGCGACTGTACGAGGGGGGTGGGGTCCAATTACAGTATTTACGGTATGTTAAAAGGTAAGTTTACAAAGTTAATCTCAACTTTTTCTATAAAACTTAAAAGAAAAGAAAATAAAGAAATAATCTAGATAAAGGAATGAGAAAAGGAAAGAGCAAAGAAAGCATTTTAAGCATTTTAATGCTAGTGGATCTAGTGGGGGATTTGAGTGTTGAGCTTCTGCAAAAGCTTGGAAACCGTTTTGAGAAATGCTATGAGAAAAGCAAAGAGCAAAGAAAGCATTTTAAGCATATTAAGCAAAGAAAAAGAGAAATTTTCATTTAAATTAAGCTTTAAAATGATTTTTAGAAGAATTCAGAAACTATTTTCAGCTAAAAAAATGCGTTTTTCGGCAATTTTGCACAATTTTGAGCTTGTTCTATTTAGAAAAAAAAAAAACAGAAAAATGATGTTGGCTTTCTGATTGCTATAGCAAGACTAATGATTTCTGATTTCAGAATTTTTTTCTTGGGGATAAAGTGCCCCTTTAAACCCATTTTTAATCAATTTTAGTTGAGGGAGAAGCCAGGTGAGAAAGCTAAATAATTACTGTGTGTTTAGGGTTAACAAATTGTGGTCTAGAAGGGTTTTTCTTTGTGTATCACAGAGTACAATAAATATGAGTTGTTCCGAAATCCTCTTTGTTTAAAATGCGACTTTTGATTTTTGTCGAAATTTGAAATAGAAAGTCGGGGAATTCGATTTTTCTTTTCAAAAACCATTCAAATCAGAAAAACTTTAGCGTCACATTTTTAAAATAAAATTAAAAACCAAGAACCGATGGAATTATATGGGAATTAGATATATATATTTGTCGTAGCCGTTTAGGAAATTCAGCCGTTAACGAATGACTCGCTAACGGCTAGCCGCTAACGAATCATTCGTAAACGGCAAGCGAAAAATTTCATTCGTAAACGGCTAGTCGTTAAAAAATGATTCGTTAGCGGCTGAATTTCGTAAGCGACTACGGTATATATTGGGTTGTCCAGTTATGAATGCGCGTTTTTACTATTTTGTAAATTTCTCAAGATATCGAACAGATTTATATGAGTGTTATATATCATTCAAAAGCTGAAGATCTCCTCTACATTTTAATATAAAAAGCTTTGGAATTTGTTCAGCTTTTGGGCAAATTGACTGCACAAGGGGAGAGGTCGTTTTCGAAAAAACCCATTTCAGCTTAGCTATTCCTCAAGTTTTATGGTGTAAGCGCCCAGAAAAGAAAAGTAAAGGTGCTCTGAAATTGTTATATTTTAAAAAAAACTTGTATAGATATATCTATTGGCCAAACATCAAACGGTTAACTCAATTTGAGCGGAGCCAAAACTTGATCCAAAGGCACCCTTCCATTTTTTGGCCACCTCTTCTTCTGTGCAGTCAATTTGCCCAAAAGTTGAACAAATTCAAAAACGTTTTTATATCAAAATGTAGAGGAGATCTTCAGCTTTCAAATAATACTCATATATATCATTTTCTTGATTTCGGTATCTTGAGAAATTTACAAAATAGTAAAAAAAACGCGCATTCATAACTGGACAACCCAATATATGTCGTAGCCGATTATGAATGAAATTTTTTGGCAAACCTTTCTAGTAGAGCAACCCTTTAATGTATGAGAACAATATTATATCATCTTGTAGCGAATTGAATTCTGCGTCGATTGGTACCAAATTTGTGAGTTTAGGTTAAGAATTGCCGGCGCTACAACGTTTCATTCAAAATCAGCGGGACCCCCGTAGCCGATTATGAATTTCAGCCGATTATGAATGAGTGGGTCTAGGAGCGTCCAACCATCAAGTATTTAGTATCATTCAACGCAGAATCATTGATAATTATGTTAAATTTTTGAAATTAGAAAGATTGGATAAAAAGAACACAAATTATGGGGCTTCAAAGTTTTCTCTTGAACAAACAGTTTTTTTGCTCTAATTTTTTTTCTTTTTATCAAATCTTGCTAATTTAAAAAATTTAACATAATTATCAATGATTCTGCGTTGAATGATACTAAATACTTGATGGTTGGACGCTCCTAGACCCACTCATTCATAATCGGCTACGACATATATTAAAAAAAAGCGTAATTTTTTTTTCAGCATTTTATAGAGTTTGACTTGCTCGTTCCGAATGTAGAAATAACTTTTCTCTTTACGCCCTGTAACACTCGTTTCAACATTGACCTACTTTTAAAAGCTCTTTTAAAGCCTGTTTGCAATTAAACAAGTCAAAAGTTCAGTTTTCTTTCTTCCTTTCTCTCCCCTCTTGTCTTCCTCTTTCTCTAGCAAGAAAATACTAGGTAGGCATCTGCCTATCTGGTATCATCAATGGTTAGACATCTGTCCGGAAAGCAAAAAGGTCGAGGGTTCAATCCTCCCTCTTTCTTTGCCATTCTTTACTTTACTTTATTACAGTAATCTAAGACTCCTAGACTTGGTTCTTACAGAAGCGTGACCCGGCTACCGTATCCAGTACACAGTTGGTCTTACAGTACTCCATGTAAAGTAAAGTACGCTAACTCAAATGTCGTACAGTACAGTACAGTAAACCAACTATTAACTTACAATTGCCTTCCTTAAAATTGGGAAAAGTTATTTACATATTGAAAACGAGAAAGTTAAGCTCTATAAAATAAGAGCTCCCGAATCGATATCGAAATTGAAGTTCTCCTGTTAAATTTTCCTTTTTCTCAATCAGTAGTAAATTTATGGAAATTTTTCCTGCTTTTGCAAGAGTTTTAAGCTTTTTTTCGTAAAGACACTGAAGGTATTGAGGCTGGCATTGAAGCTGGTGTAAAGAGCTTTCGTTTCCATGACAACCTCTCTTGAAAATCGATGTCAAATAACAAATTTCACTAGTGCAAACTCAAAATTTGCATAAATTTCAATTCAAATAGCTAATAAGTCTAAAAAATATATTTGAAAATAATATTCATTTCAATGGTCGAAGTTTTCTACAATGGAATTATCGAGTCGGCATCGGATTTCGAGAAAACCGGCTTCTGTGTGCGCTGGAAATTGCATATTGGTGAGGAATTTGGATTTGGAATTTGGATTAAAAGAATTTAAAAGAAAAAAAGCTAAAGAATAAATGTCATTTTCAATGCAATTTCAATAAAAAGAATAAGAAAAAAGGGAAATTATTCAAATTTGACAAAGTTTGAAAAGATTCAAATGTAAAAGATTCAAATAAACAAAATTTAAAGTCTATTTCAAGTTCTAATTGGAAAATGAATAAATTTTAGTAAAAAAAATGACATTTAATATACATTTAACTCCATGATTTTAAGAAAAAAACAATTCTTAATCGTTTTTTATGGAACTGATTGCTGAACTCGCTCTCTTTTTTCCGCGAAATGTTCAGCAAGCTTTTCAAAACTCCGATTTGGTTTAATTCACTTAGCATAAAACGCTAGTCTATCAAAAAGATTGATAGACTAGCGCTTGCTGAACATTTCGCGGTTACGGTATCTGTCTGTCTTTCTGTCTGTCTTTCTGTCTGCCTTACTGTACGGGCATTTTTTTCAGCCGTTCACCCCGGAATCGTTGACAAAATATTGACGACATAGATTTGAGCTTTAAGATTCCTGAGTTCTGGAAGTCACAGGACATCCAGAGACCCTTAAATCTTACTTTTTATCCAATCAAAAACTACCGAATTTAAGTGAACATTGAAAACCAGAAACTAATTAAACTTGGGTAATTAAACCGGGGAGGGGAGGTTTTCCACGGTGTTTAGCCGGGGCAGTGTGCCAACCCAATAAATGTGCCAAGAATGTTCCAAATGGAATCTAGAACCTAAGACTTGTAAAGAGGCAGGCCTTAATCGCTTTTTGTGGAACTGATTGCTGAACTCGCTCTCTTTTTTTCCGCGAAATGCTCAGCAAGCTTTTCAAAACTCCGATTTGGTTTAATTCACTTAGCATAAAACGCTAGTCTATCAAAAAGATTGATAGACTGGCGCTTGCTGAACATTTCTGAACTGATTGCTGAACATTTCTGCTCAACATTCTTTGCTGACATTTTTTCCGCCACGATTCAGCTCGCTGAAATCTCTTTTCAAACAAAAATCAAACAAAACAAAGACCTAAATCGAAAACTCTTGATGGAATAAAAATGAATGGAAACACACGTTTCCTGGTGCACTAAACTTTTAAAGGATTTTATTGCAGGCGGCGGTTGGCGAGTGATCGAAGGTGCACAAGAAGGCCAAACACAAACCGATCTAGCGAAAAGCCTTCAGAAAGCCTATTTCCTGCATCCAATCGACATTCATTTGGCCACAAGAACTCTTCAAGGTCATTTCAAGTCGAATCATTCATTTCATTTTATTCTTTTAAATCAATCTTTACTTATTTTCTTTAAAACCTCACAACTCTTTCATGCCAAAATCAGTAGAACAAAGATTTCTGTTTTACATTTCAAAGAAGAGATTTTAATCTATTTTAGTTTTTAGCCTAGGTTTCTGCACGGAAAACTAACGAAACGTGAAAACAGCCATTTTTTGTATATTATTGGTTTGATGGAAAAGTCCTTTCCGATTTTTTGGGAGAGTACCTTAAATTTGTCGAATTTTGACGTTTTATAGCTCATCCTAAAGCTGAATTCAAGACGGATCGATTGGTAAAAACCGTTTTGAGATATCTCTTTTCTAAAAGTTTTTACAGCTATTTTAGTAAAGGGTGGCAGAGCCCTTTACAAGATTTGAGACATGTGATCTTGCGTTGTCGTGCAATAGCGTTCCTGTTCTTGCACTATCGAGAAGTGAGAAATTCCCTTCACGAAATCGTTGAAACCAATTCCGGATAGTTCGTTCAAACAAAAAAAATAATGAGAAAAACGAAGGAAAATCGCGAAAAGCGGCGGAAAGGCTATTGATCTGAGGGTCGCTGGTTCGACTTCCACCGGTGACAATATTTTTCAAAAATTTTTTGCTAAGCTTCTGAAAATGCGTGTATAGAGGTTATTTTTGACGCTGATCACGAAACACATGTTTTTAGCCTAGGTTTCTGCACGGAAAACTAACGAAACGTGAAAACAGCCATTTTTTTTGGCTCTGCCGCCCTTTACTAAAATAGCTGTAAAAACTTTTAGAAAAGAGATATCTCAAAACGGTTTTTACCAATCGATCCGTCTTGAATTCAGCTTTAGGATGAGCTATAAAACGTCAAAATTCGACAAATTTAAGGTACTCTCCCAAAAAATCGGAAAGGACTTTTCCATCAAACCAATAGTATACAAAGATTCCTGTAGATTCACTGTACTGTATTCACTGTAGGCTTTCCATGAGAATCTCCATGAGAATTTTTGATTTGCCTGCATTGAACTGTATTGTCTTGTGCTTTCAGATTGGCCCAAATTAATGCTAGAAGTTTGGCACTGTGATGAGTACGGAAGGCAAGAGATTTATGGATACGGATCGATATTTCTCCCGTCATTGCCCGGTCATCAAGAGGTACTGATAGCTTTTTAACTGAAATAGCTTTTCATGAGCTTTTTCTTTCAAATGATACCAAATAGAGGGTTGATTGGACTGACGATTTTCATTTTCAGAAAACATCAGATATTTCAGAAATAAAACTCTCAAATCAGAGCGAACTGTTTTCTCAATTTAACTAAAAAGTTTAAGCAAAACAAATAGTTTGAAAAGATGTAGAATTTGTAGAAAAAATGAAGCCAAATTTGAGGGCAAAATTGGTCCCAGGAGCTTGTGTATAGTGGCTGTTAAAAGTGCGAGGCCGGTTTAGTCGCGACTCTTTCGGATCCCAAAAGCCAGGCAGTTTGTATCAGGGCAGTTCGCCAGACGGTGAGCGATTGTGCACGAGCATAAAGAACACCTCGCAAGTCATTTACCAGATTCTTCTTTTGCTTTCTAGATGGCACAAAAAGATATTCAGTTGTAAATTTGTCCCCGGGGGTTTTCGGGATCGGGAAATCAATTGAAATTATTCATTTTATTGAGTCTATCAATCTTTTTGATAGACTAGCATTTTATGCTAAGTGAATCAAACCAAATCGGAGTTTTGAAAAGTCCGCACACCTGGTATTCATTATAAACTTTACCAAAATGCTCAAGATAAAAGTTTTCAGCTTGAGTGCCATATTTGGAGGCCAAAGGGAACATTGCGCGAAGAACTTATGCAAAAGTTTATTGGCGGTGGGCTACAGGTAATTTGATTGGTACTTGTCGGTTTGAAATCCACAAAGACTCATCTCGGTGAAGCATCCCCATCCGAGTCTTCTCGGTTATCGATTTTCGTTCTGATGAATGATCGAATGATCACTTCAGACGAGTACTCTACTTCACTGAACATTCACTGAACATTCACTGGACTTTACGGAATGTACTTCACTGTACTGAACGTAGATTGTACTTGACTGAAGCCGTCACAAGTTGTTAGCTCCTTGCTTAACCGAGTTGAGTCTCTGTAGATGTATAACCGACAAGTACCCTTTTGACAGTGCTCGATATCAAAAACAGAAAGCAGATTCGGAATCAGTGTTGAATTCTTTTGAATAAGCCATTTCAGATGCCATTTGGCCACCCAGACATTTCCATGTCATTATAACAGCTACACTACTGGACAATGAAATATCATATTCGAAAAAAGAGATCGTCACTTTCGCGCGTCTGTAACTCCCTTGTCTTTACCGTATTTCTAAATATTAATATTACCATTGTGTAGCCCTTGAAAAGAGCTTTCAGAAAATGTAGAACACTAATAGTTTAAGCTCAAAGACAAGGGAGTTACAGACGCGCGAAAGTGACGATCATTTTTCAAATATCATATTTCATTGTCCAGTACTGTATGTCATGTCATGTCATGACAAGTATCACTTGATTTAACTGCTTACTTAGAATTTTCTTATCTAGTTTATTAAGTGAGTGATTTAAACTTGTAAAAATCATTCGGAGAGAAGAAAAGGGAATGATTTTTATTGCAATTTTTGCTAGTTTAGCTAACCGAAAGCCTTGGTCTAGGCTTAGGCTAGACGTTTAGCTAACCGAGAGCATGAGCCTGAGCCTAAGCCTAAGCCTAAGCCTAAGCCTGAGCCTAAGCCTAAGCCTAAGCCTGAACCTGAGCAGCTATGTCATGTCATGACAATTGCCACTTGACTTTGATTGCTTACTTAGAATTTTCTTATCTAGTTTATTAAGTGAGTAATTAAACTTGTAAAAATCATTTGGAGTGAGGAAAAGGGAATGATTTTTATTGCTATTTTTGCTAGTTTAGCTAACCGAAAGCCTTGGTCAAATGAAGAGCTTCGAGGTGGCGAAATTCGATGGGAAATCAGCGGGTGTGGAATTTCAGAATTTCATTGTATTTGTGAATCATTTTTCACTTTAAATACTTACAAAAATCTTCATTTTATTCAGTTTATTTAAAAGCTGAAGAGATTTTATGTAAACTTTTAGGCATAATCAAGCTACAAATGAACACGATCACCCGGAATTTCGATCGTTTCGGGATTGTGGCTTAAAAACCAAAAAAAAAAAACAAAAAGATTTTAACTGGTTTCGAATTATTTTATTGTAAAAAAATGAAATTTGAATAAATTTATGGTAAATTTTTGGGACCTAGTCAAAATAGCGCCACCAAAACAGCGACGTTCAAAACAGCGCCATTCAAAACAGCGCCCGTACAAAAATAGCGCCGTTCAAAACAGCGCCCATACAAAAATCGCGCCGTTCAAAATAGCGCCCATACAAAAATAGCGCCAAATTGAAAGAGACTGCGATTAGATTTTTCAACCCCAATGTTTTTATACTTCTCATCAGAACTTGTAACTTTTGTTATTTTTTAAACATTTCTAAGCACCTTGCGCGTGTTTTGCCAAACCGACAGATTATTTCATCATCAGAATCAGGTTTTATGGCCCATTTTAAATAAACAATGCGACACATTTTGTTTTTCATCGTTTTTTTTCTTATTTTTTCTGTTCTTGGGACTTAATTTTTTGTTTTTTTAGGTAAAAGAACGTCGCCTGAAGAAATAGAAGACTCCTTGCAAGTGATTCGGCGTGGCTAGCGACAAACACAGGTATTTTTCACACAATATAGTTTGCGAAGAAGTTCTACTTGTATAAGGTAATAACTTTGTTTCTTTGATCTTAAATAAATGTAATAAGATTGATTAAGCCAGTTTTTACACTTTTCTGCAAAATTTTGGTATCTCAACATCTTTTTTAATTTAGGGATGTCGCTATCTCAGAAAGGTGGAGTGCTACTTTACGATGAAGATGGACACGAGTATCGGAAGGACAAAACAATCCGAAAAGGGGTAGCTACAGCTTATCGGTAATTTCTTTTTTACTAGTTTGGTTGTATATTCGTTGAACATTTTAAAGTTTTCTTTTAGTTGTACGAAAACAAACTGCCGGGGGAAGGATGCATAAAAGATGAAGCAACTGGAGTCCTTTCTGTCACCAACGAGCACGCTATGACCTGCCTGCCATTGAAAGAAAAAGAAGAGGTAGGTATTGTTTTGTTTAACTTATCGTTTCTTGTTTATATTTTTAGATACGTGGAATACACTGTGGCGCCAAAAACGATCGGATTGCTGGAGTTCCGACGAAGGAAATTATTAAACGACGTGTTCTCGGAGCTCGCCCACACTTATTGCCTTATCTCAATACCAAGGGAATTCAACAAATGGCTCGTCGGCAAGTCAAAATCGATGGTGATAGAGATTGGCCTGCTCCGGTCACTGGAACTTTTCGTGAGTTGTTGTTATGTTAGCCTCATAAATATTTACATTTAGGGGTTTTATTCTTACGATATGATAACTGCTCAAACTACCCAGCTCCACACGCAAACGCAATTAAATTCTTTGCTACTGATTGGGGAATCGATATGTTACTTCAGGTATATTAAACTCTTTAGACTTTCAACTTTAATAACAAAAGTTAAATACTTTTAGCACCCTATTTGGAGTATTGATGGCACGTTTTATGCGGCTCCCTTTTGGGTTTTCTCAAATTCTGGTGATCGGGGTTGAGGTTTTTTTTGTTATGTTAGTTTTATAGTTTTGTTTTTAGATAGATCATCTTTTCGTTCCGTGTGCATATGCATTCCTGTCAAGCAAGTTGACACAAACGTATAGCGACGTCTTTGGTCTGGTCAAACAATTGGGATTACCACCACCAACAAAAATTAAAACAGGTTATTTTTTGTTTATTTTGCATCGAAAAATTTATAAAACAATTTTAGATATGGAGCTGGCTATTGTCAACGGTTTTATGGCAGTCTATGGCAACACATCAACCATACATTTCTGTTGTTTTCATTTCTTCAAGGCCATCTTTCGCAAAATTAAGGTTATTAAACTTTGGTTTTTTAATATTTATTTATTCTTTTAGGAGAAGAAACTACAAGACATCTATTGTGATTCAAATATGTTTGTCTACGTGAAAGGATTGCTTGCACTGACATTCATAAGACCTGTTGATGTCTTGCGATATTTTCGTGTACTACGAGATGAAGCCTTCAAACAAATTCCCTCCCTTATTAATGAGTTACAAGGTTTGTTATTTATCTTTGTTATAGATTTAATTTTTAAAATTAGGCTTATATTCGTACTTCGAAAAATCTTTTGTTGGATTTGTTCAAAATAGTCGCTTCATTCGACCAACACACTCCATTGAAACGTGGAACTCGTATGATACAATCTGTCGTGGCGAACAACTTGGCAACTCGTCTCAAGAATCTTACAATTCTTTACTAAAAGTTTGTGTTTTTAATGTTTAGTTAATGTTTAAAGATTTAGGCTCTTACTTCACGATGTTCTGCTCGTTATGTTGCTCAAAAGCTACTAGATATTCAAGAAGACTTCGAAAAACGTCTTCTTGCGGCTACATCTCGGCACATGACTCTACCTCAATCTTCGCCTCAATCGTCGAAAGTTCTTCACGGCCATCGTGTAAGAAAAGTTGCGGTTCAAAATGGATCGTTGGGTAAGAGTCCAGTCGATCATTTAAAATCTTTATGTTGTTATATTCATATGTGTTAACTGCGTTGTTTAATTTTTTCATTTTGTTACTTGAATAAACAAATTTTTATGTACTATTTTACTTGAGAATGTACGAGAAAATAAAGCCTTTATGGAAAACTCCAAAAGAGCATTGGTTAATCTACATTAAAATCTTTAAATTCGGCGCTGTTTTGAACGGCGCGATTTTTGTATGGGCGCTGTTTTGAACGGCGCTATTTTTGTATGGGCGCTGTTTTGAACGACGCTGTTTTGAATGGCGCTGTTTTGAACGTCGCTGTTTTGGCGGCGCTATTTTGACTAGGTCCCAAATTTTTACAGTGCTACTTATCAGAAATAATCTATTTAAAAAAAAAAATCATATTTCTACCTAACCAAAAGCCTTGTTTCAAATAAAGAGCTTCATCTCGATTAGTCAATCATCTCGAAGTCTCATCAATCAGTCACAAATTTTTAGTTTACATTCAATTAACCTAATTTTCGTATTATTAAATGAGCATTTCATTTCTCATTGAATAATATCAAAATTGGATTACTCTAGTTTTTAAATAGTCAAGTCTGCTCAATTCTAGCCTTTGATTCCGTTTACCGTATTTTCTCTAATAGTAGTGCACCCCGGCGAACCGAGTTGGTGACGATTTTACGGTTTCCAAGTTATCGCAGAAGCTCAACACTCAAATCCTCCACAAGATCTCATCGTCAGCTACATTTTCCGACCCCACATCGATAGGTTCTGATAAGCGGTTTTTGAGATTTAGAGGAATTTAGGGGACGCTCAGGGTGCACTACTATTAGAGGATTCGGCTACTACTGGATTAAGCTAAAACTATTGTAATCTAGAAATTAAATGCCTGGGAAAGAGGTATAACCTCACAGATGTTACCCTAATCTGCCAAAGCTGCTTGCTCTAGTCTTTTTCTCTCTAATAGTAGTGCACCCAAACGAGCCGAGTTGATGACTATTTTACAGTTTCCAAGTTTTCCCAGAAACTCAACACTCAAATCCCCCACAAGATCTCATCGTCAGCTACATTTTCCGATCCCACATCGATAGGTTCTGATAAGCGGTTCTCGAGATTTCGAGGAATTTAGGCGACGCTCTGGGTGCAGTACTATTAGAGAAAATACGGTATTTGTTTATTTTTTCTTTTTGTTTGTTTATCTCTTTGTTTTCTATTTGTTTACAATATTATTTAAGCTAAATGGGACTACAAATAAAGTTATAAATAATCTCATTAGTTCATATAAAGCTAAAATCAGTCGGCTGTTCGAAGAATAGACCGAAAGCCTTGATCAAATAAAGAGCTTCATCTCGATTAGTCATCAATCAGTCACAAATTTTTAGTTAACATTCAATTAACCTAATTTTCGTATTATTAAATGAGCATTTCATTTCTCATTGAATAATATCAAAATTGGATTACTCTAGTTTTTAAATAATCAAGTCTGCTCAAAAGTTTTTAACCGAAAAATTTTCTTTTTCTTACTTCAAACTCTCGACGAAGAGGTCACCAAAAAAGACAAGTAAATTGGACAAGAAACCCTACAGAATACTTTGTCCGTTCTTGTAATTTACTTGTAATAGATGAAAAATTTAGAGACAGGAAGCTCTTTTTTCTTTTTTCTTATAATAATTATCCTTACAAGTGACACTCTTCTCAACTTTCTCCTCAATAACCAGCTTGTTCTTTTACTTTTTCTCTCTTCAACTTCAGCTTGACCTTGAATGAGAAATGTCCTAAAGGAACTTTGAGTAACGAGATGTTCGTATTTTTGTATTTGTAAATAGTTGTTGAACAAGTTTCTTTCTTTTTCATCATTTGTCTTGAACATTTGTCATTCATGTTTGTCTTCTTCTGTTGATCATTCGATCATTATTGGATGATCATTTTGCTGACAATGTTGTTGACAATGTTACTGACAATGTTACTGACAATGTTGCTGACAATTTTGCTGACAATGTTGTTGACAGTGTTACTGACAATGTTGCTGACAGTGTTACTGACAATGTTGCTGACAAAGTTGCTGACAATATTGCTGACAATATTGCTGACAATATTGCTGACAATATTGCTGACAATGATTCCAAACCGATAAAAGTTTCTATTTGTTTTCTAAAAGATTATTAACTTGCTGAGAACAGTAGAAACGCCGAAGTTTAAGAATTGAACAGTGAGAAAATCCGTTTCAGTTTTTAATCTCGATGTCTATAAGCTGAGTCAAAAATTTTTTGACAGAGTATTTAAAGTTGATGAATATAATTTGAAGAAAGCCATAATTTCTCGACTCTCGACACTTTATTGGGTGATAATCGTTAGTTTCCAATGATCTAATGCTTAAAATGATCGTTTTCGAGTAGAAAAAAGAAGATCTCATTTCTCTAGCACAGAAAAATCGTCACTTTCGACTTTTCAATCGAAAATCGGCGCTCAATTATTATGGAAGAGACGATCCAAATCGGGGCTAAAGGCGAGAAATTGAGGGGAAAAGG